AATCCTCCCTCTGACAATGTCAAAGGTTGTGAAAAGATCTGGAGGGATCGTGCAAAACGCAGCAGAAAAATGTCACCTCCCCAAATCATTAGATTGCTTGGGCTTCTTTAAAGAAAGAACCTGGAAGAGCAGACGAATCGAAGAAGCCCTAATCATCCAATTGTGGGAAATGTCAACCGGGACAAAAGACACGAACTCTGCGCGGATTGGACAAGCCTCATCAAGCGTATGACCTAAAAACTACTACATAGGCTAAAAGCACATCTTGACTCCAGACGCCACAATAGCTGCGGATAAGACAATCAACTGCAGAAATCAACCCGGACCACCCTGAAGAAGGCTCGTGAGAGACGAGCCGAAATGCCGGTTGATTAATCACCCGAGTGACCTACTTATTTGTTTGTGTTATGAATAATTAATAAACCGACTTCATGCATTTTTCAATATCAGCGCCAACGCATGAGCAAATTGCTCAATGTTGCTTTATTAATTAGACATTTGTTCATCTCTGTATCCTTTACCATATGCAAAACGTTCGGTGTTCGGCACTTACGTAAAAGCGGTTGAGTCATGAATCATTATTTATACCGTCTTGCATAATATTTTTCGTAAATTATTACCCATATGAGAGCTGATTATTTATATCAGAAATAACCACAAGCATGTGTGTAGGTATTTAAGGTTCCAGCTTTATACACCATGAAAACAACTCCTTGCACAAGACAAAGCTTTGACTGATATTTCGACAAAGCTTCTTCAAAATCCAACCTGTGGTTATACACTGGGACCAGTGACGAAAAGGTCGTTTTCCTACTTTGGAGGTGTCGGGTTCGAATCCAGAGATGAAACAACTTTAACTGTGAATTCTCGTAAGCAATGAATCTGTCTCACTTTGCTTCGGTGCAATCAGCCGAAAAACGGATTACATGTTGTAATTTTCGAACAACAAGGGCAGCATTGTGTTCTGGTGTTGTCATACCAGAATGGGCGTAAGGAACGATCATGCGGACTGATGTGAGTCCCTTGTATCTGCATTTCGCCTTGACCCACCTGATAGCTGATTATCCGGTGTAATAATCAGAACAAGGTGTAACCTGTGAAGTTCCGGTTGAAACAAGTTTGTACTTTATGTATGACTCATTCCATATTGTCGATATTTATGTGCGTTACTATCAACAAGCTCTCTTCTCTTAGATTTTAGCGTACATGGAAGTTTCACTCGAAACTCTATAGCCTACAAGTCTGACCTCTGAAAAACCGCTTTTTTCAACGCATCCACTGAACAACGCCCCACAAAATGAAGAGGGGGTTAGAAAATAGTACAGTTATTTTTTAGCTATTAAGATGTCATTGCATCCATTCCAGTCTCATATGAACCGTTTAGTGACCTCGACTCTATGAGGCATGTTGGTCATTCAGTCATTTCATCTTTTTCACGTATTTCAGCTCTTTCACTGGCAGTTGACTTTAGATCAACAGAGCACAGAAGGCAGACGTGTGATAAAAGAAATTGACAGCAACAGCAAAAAATATTCACTGCTACTTTTTCGTAATCAACGGGCGATCATCACTTCCTAGCTCAGTGCCCACGTTCGTGCGTCTCGTGCCACTTGTCATCACAAGCTTCCATATCTGTTTGAGTTTATCTTCCCGTCTGCAGACCCTTGGCTCCAATCCATCACTGCTGAAGTTCATGGATGATCGAACGGACTAAGAGCTATTTTTGTTTCTGCTTTTCATTTCATTCTGTTTTAGCAAATGGTTGAGGCTACTGTATCAAGCATTCTGGATGGCTATTCCTCATCCGGACCTAGTGGGGTTCGTTGCAATGACTCCGTGAAGCTTCATCCGTTTAGAGTTCTTCGGTCAGCTCTGGCGCAGTCACCTCTTCTCCAACAGTTTGTCCTCCGCACGCGGAGCGGTGCCTCATCTCGTGAGGATAAAAGTCCGAAACATGAGCTTTTAATTAACTCAACTTGTAGGTTTAAACTTGATATTATGGAAGTACTAGCTTTTGCTCCATCCATTCCTTTTCTAACTACAGAGGTTGCAAAACCGTAATTCAATCGTATTGAATACTGCTCTTATATTTTTGAACTTCAGAAATATTAAAACTTCTAAATACGTGAAATTCTAGATTGAACTTGTATCCTTGCATAAACTGACAAAGTATATTGACTGCAATGCCCTTCCCAAATTTCTTGGTGGAATGTACGACTACGATCACAAGTGCTGGCTTGAAATGCGACAAGTAAGTGAATTGTGACCAATTATAACTTCCTGCTTTGTAAATTATGTGAATAACGCACGTTTTTATAGAAGTATGAAAATCTTTTGAGGAAAGGCGGCGAGCTATTGAAATGCTTGGAGCAAGACAAACTGTCAGACGTGCTCGAGTCACCGAGACTCCAAAGCACAGAAGACGAGAAAAGGAAATATTACGAAAGCCTTACTCCAAAAATCCTTCGCGAAGGTTCGTGTTTTGTACGTTACAGTAAGGAGACGATTTGCCATGATTGCTTTTCAGGATCAGAAATGGTTTCAACGCTGAAGGACTGCCCTTTCGGAGGAGATCATAACAAAGACTTTTCCGTTATGACTCAAAGGATCGAAACTTTGCTTCATCAAATCAAGGTCTATATATATTGCATTATTTTTTATCACATAATGAAGTTTTGTTTTGAATCTGTTGAGAGGTTAGAATTGACAAGGATTTGTCCTTATAACGGAAACCTCATGTTCACCGTTACTAGCATCGTTCTGCGGATGGATCATCCTTCATTTTGCTCGCTTCCTTTGTTGGCACCGTAAACGCGATTATACAGTCGTTATAATAGTTCTTTCTCTGCTATGTGTGTTCCGTCGTTGACACCAGTAAATTTGATTAGCAAGTCGTCCAAGCTTGAACCTCCTCATCTTGGAACTAATTGAGTCCTAACTTATTAGGGCCTTAGCAAATCGTACGCTGAGCTAGGAGTTGGTTTCTTCTGTAGAGGACGCAGTGTTGCTCGAAAGCGACCATGTAATTCACTTCATATTTCTACATTGATATCTTAGTATTGTGCGAGGCGACGTCTGAACGGATGGCATTAATTGTAATTAGTAGCTGGCAGAAGAACACGAATACGTTGTAGTAATCTTCTGATGCCAGTAAAACTAATCGCAGGTACGAGATACATTCGTTTCAAGAGGTCTAAAATGAGTTTAAGAAAGAAAGGAGGAAAATAGGAGCAGCAAATGGACGAACATCGGCGAATGACGATATTGGGCAGCTCTGTGAAAGTACACATATGATGGGTTTAATATCCGACGCGAAGGGCAAAAGGAAGTCCAGGCACTGAGGGAGTTCATGTCAGGAAAATGTCAGTAAAAATTAACCCTAATATTATGGTTTCACTAGCAAACTGTTAGTTTTCACTACCGCCTGCAAGAATAGATAGTTTCTATCATTTCTTGGAATTCTCACGGCTCCTGAGTTACAGTCCCCCCTTGATTCTTGTAATCTAAGCAGTCGTTTAAAAGGCTACGGTTGTATGAGTCTTTAGCACCTGCGCAGAACAGCACATCGCTGCTAGGTCGAAGGAAAACGCTGCAGATGCTAAGACACTGTTACTGACTCGAAGATCGGCGTGGTCTAGAGGTGGAGACGCCATTACTTACCAGAACTCCAACCTACTCGATTTGGCCTGGGCGTGGCGGCGCTGTTACTACCCGGAACTGCCCACAACGAATCTAAGACATTCTTAACGGTCATCTTGAAGCCAAGTGTACTAGAGTACTCTCGACCTGTCTGGCGGTTACCGACAGTTAGAAATCGATAAGGATCATTATTAGAAAACGGCATTCTCAACGCCGTATGGTCTGCATGAATTCCAGCGGTTGCCTTTCGGCTTATCCAACAAATAATCGAGATTGTCCTTGACTGACCTGATGTATGACTGCTGCTTCTTCTGTTCGGATAACATTGGGGTCTTCTGCAGGAACAAAAAGAATATCTGCAAACGAATCGATGCTGCAACGAAGAGTTTAAAGAAAGCTAATTTTAAACCACAGCTGTAGAACTGCAGATTCCTTCCAAATCAGGTTGCTTCGTTCTGTATGCCGTGTTGTAGAAGGATGAAGGATGCTGCAACTGATCCTAGCGAGATTGCGGTCGTTGCGCAATGAAATCCGCCTTCCACTTAGCTGAACAGTGTCACTCTTTGGCTTTGCGTCATACTGCCACGGTTCATAAAAGGCTTCGCCACCATCGTGGCGCCAGTGCATTAGCTGATGGAAAAGAAGGCCAAATTTAAGTGCAGTTCAGTCTGCCAGAATGTCTTCAGAATACTCAAAGAACACCTTACTTTGGCACCCACACTAGCTTCTCCGGATTTCGAGAAATGATGAATCGCTGACAGTAATGCAAAAGAACAATCTGTTAGTGGCATATTGTCCCAACATGAGGGAAGGGAGCAGGTTGTGCGAAAGCAATTCCTGACTTTGGTAATTTTATCCAAACCCTCAGTCGCAACTTGGGCGGCAGAAGGTTAATGGTCATTGGAGACTTCATCGATCAGGCAAACAGCATAGTAATACTGATAGGTTATCACGGACATCCGGGTAATCAGGGGTAAGATATAGCCGATTCATCCTACGCGGAAGCAAGCAGTAAAATAGGGCAGCCTTCGAACCTAGCGATTCCACTGTTAGCATGCAGCAAGCCCCGTGAGATTGCCATGATATCAGTAACCTATGTTATTGACTAGCTATCATTCATATATTCATATTCTTGTCTGCTGATCATTAAATAATTAGTATTCGTCGTGCCTTCAGCCAAACATTTTAGGAATTGAAAGAGTCTAAGAAAGAAATTCTTTACCAGAAAGAAAAGAAGAGGCATGAAAGAAGAGATCGCATCGTCTTCGAGCAGTTTTCGATGGGCGTTGAAAATGTGAGTATCAGTGGAAAATGATATCTCATGTGAAAGTACGTTACGCGGCTAAGGTTCAAGCGCAAACTTAAACGAGGAGTTCTTATTCCATAGTGCGAAGCAAGACGCAGAAGACTGCACCACTTAGAATGCACAGATTTTCTGCATGTTACTACTTCTAGTCGAAAATCGTTTGATCGCATAGGTTACCTGCAGATGTACAGCAAGAATATTGAGTTGTTGCTCTGATAGTTATACAGAGAAATAGTATACAAAACGATTCATTAATACACAGGTGCAAAAAAGCATGGTCAATCAGGAGATGCACGGACACCCATTTCTCGGCCTGCATCCCATGGGTTTCTTTCAGAGCAATCTGTGGACGAAGTTTAGCATTTATTTGGTTGCTCTGCAGCAGTTGGTTAATTTGCAGGAAAGTAAGGAAACAGAAAAATATATAACCGTTGGAATGTCGGTCCTTATTACACTTCCATCATTGTGCCTTTTAATTGGAGGGACGCTGATCTTCATTCCTATTCCATCACGCAGGAATGCTTTCTTTTAAGGGCAGAGTCAATGAGAACTGCGTGATAAGCTTTGGGTGCATTCTCCTGTTTCCTTCCCACAAATTCGTACTCATATATCAATATCGAAATTATGAAAGGCGAGTGACCCGACCGGGATACGAATCCTGGACCTCCCTGTTCTGAGTCTGACTTACTCTTAATTGAACAACTCCGTCAAGCCCAAAGGCCAAGACTAATTTGAAGGTCGCTAATCTAACCTCAACGGGTCGGACTGGTCTTTTAAAGCTGTCTGTTTGGATGCTATTTCTTATGAAGATCCACTTGCCATTGGACATATCCGGTATTTGAACTAACCGCGTGTGATTCCTGTAAAGTTGATGCACGGCATGCAATTCTGCTCATCGCTGGAATGGTACGCCCTTCTGGCTGTTTCTACCTGCAACATAATGTTGTCCCTTCTGCGACTGGCATTCGATTCAGCAATTCGCGCTCAGGATATATTCTCTTTTCACCCTGTCGCGGCGTTCAACATCAATCAACGCGTAATGGAGAGATAGGCTCAATTCATATTGGGAAATTTATTGGTTTCCTGTTCGATCCTGTACAATCATTGGTATATCAGCATATGTTGAATGCCGCAGATGTTGATCATGCTGTTAATTCTGAAAATTTTTGTGGAAATATTCTCTATCTAGTTTGCAGACTGGATACTGGGACCAGGCGAAAAGTGGCTCCTGACTTTGCACGAAATCGGTGAATCTAAGGAGGAAGCTGAGCAGCTTGAAAGAGAACACATACAGTTGTACGAGAAAGCACAGGTAATTGATCAACCCTCGGCCATGCGAGGAAGAAACCCTTTTATTAATCATAACGTTTAGGAAATTCTAGCTCAAGAAAATGAATTGGCCTTATTTGCAGATCGACTAATAGACCTCGATCATCCTCTGAAAGCAGAGGTTAAGAAGAAACGTGAATATATGGATGAAATAACTCGCATATTTACTAGTCGTGTGTCTAGGCAACGAGAAATTGTCGCCATGTCGGTGCATTTTCACCACCTAGTAAACAAAGTACTGATTTTGAGCAGGATTAGTAAACCAATGTCATTAATCGCTGTTTCCAGTTGACAGCACATCTGGACGAGGTGTTGGAAAATCTCTGTTCAGAAGTGTCAATGAAAGATGTCGAAGAGTGCCAAGCCGCGCTGGAAACGCTCAACATTAAAAACGATGAAATAAGTAACAACTGGCTTTTTATACTTTGCTCATTAACGTTATAAAAGTTGCCACCATTTTAAGTTCCGTTATCTGACTTGTCCTCGTTATGGATACGCCATGAACGCAAGTCGTCGTACCTTTAGTTCTCTATTCTCATTCTTTCCTAGCCTCCATCAGTAGCAAAGTAATATCACTACCTGTCGTCCAAGCGTGTTTTTGGTGTGGTCCAGTTACACCCATTTGGAATTTCTTGACTACACGCGTTGTCTCGAGCGAGCCACAATGACGGATCATCTTCGCTAGCCACTGTAGAAGGCAGGGGTCCGTTAGGAAATTCAGTCCGTCGCGGAATTCTGCCCTCCAAATCTCGGAAGGCCCTGCGCATTCTCCGCTCCATCACTCTTTACCTAACCATCAGTTTGTTGTGTCTGTAGACCAGTATTGTGCGCTGTGGATCATGACTGACTGAACAACTCCTTCGCTCGCATGAGCAGTTCATTGTCGAGTAATTACTTTTCACTACAGTCGAAGCTGGTCTACCCCTCCTTCCTTTTTCTCTTAATTTCAACATCCAGCGAGTAAATGCGGTCCATCTGACAGCGAAGTCTTACCATGCTCGGGACTTCTACGAGCTTTTCCCGATCGCATAGCAGAATCTTCATGGTAATGCTCGTTTTGCATCCACTTCGCCATGGAGATGCTGACCTCCAAGTCCAATGGTGAGTGATTTTTGATCAATCTATAGCCGATTTTAAATGCTGGATCAAAAAATTTATCAACTTGTATGCCCTGTTCAGAGGTCAGATGAATTGATTTATCGTTATGCCACCCATCGCCCTAGCGTGTTTTGCCTCTTACACTGACCACGTAAAGGACTCTATTGCGTTCTGAGCACAAGTGACTTTATTAGATGATCAGAGTAAAAAATTGAGGTTGACCCTTCTGGGCAAATTGGTTGAACATAAGTCATTTTCTCTAGCCCATGAGCTTCTCGTGTGGGCGTGGAAACATGGCAGATGTCGACCAGGAGGCCAGCATGCAATGTGGAGTAGATCTGCTTCCAAAAAGGGCTTGTTTCTTCTCTTGTCCAGTAATCAGTACCTTAAAAGTGTTGTGAAACTGCGAACACTACAGACATCACAGACTGAAGACGCTTTTGCTTATACAAACGGCTACATGTGATGATCTCAACAAACGCAACAAGCACATCTTCTGGTCTTGAACGAATGTCGTATCATAAATTACATTTACATATGTTTGAGCATTTTTCCTGTGTGCAAATGTCATGAATTTTTGCGACTTACGCTTATGACAGTACGATGACAATATTTCGACTTACTGGATTTAAACCTTCAGCTGGACTAATTAATTGCATGTAATTTTATCCGTTGTACGATGTTGTCCATCTGGCATCGTCTTGGTCAGTCGTTCTCTTCATCTTGATTCCTCAAGCCTTGTAATCTTACTTCCTCATTCCTTCTCATTGCGCATCCACAATACCGAACTTGCACTCTTGAACTTTATCCCTAGAGCACGTAAAGTATTAAACTATTTAAGATTCTGCCATTAGATTGGAGGTATGTCAGCATGCCCTTGCAGTCGTGTACATCTGTAACGCTAATCTGACGCATTTCGATATTTGGCTTTTCTTCTCCCTAAGGATGCAACTTCTTCGTTCATGACCTGCATCCGGCAAATTTAGAGATTTTGAAAATTTCAGCTTCGAGGACTGCCTGATAATGTGACTTCTCATATTCTTTTGAGATTTGAGTGTCTATCTAGCCGTTCGTAAGCGTCTAAAATCTCCTTTCTTTGGCCATTACTAATGTGTCAGCGATGGGACCAAGATACTGAAAAGATAATTGCCTAGCTGAAAGTAAACTTGAATTGTTGTCCTACCAAGTCGCTGTTTGTTCATGAACGTGAAGCTAAAATCAGTTCAGAAAATAAATATATTGCCTGGATGTCACCTGCTTCGACTGCTGGTTTCTTTTTGTGTTTTTAATACTGAGCTTCTTAACCAGTACAGGTACAGTTTAATTTAATTTCCATCACCACTTCTATGTCACTGAGGTAGGCACGTCATACAATGCATCCAACGATTCCGGTTCTTTACCAGCGTCTGAACGTCGACAGAAGACAGCCGGATCTAGAGCTGACTCCTTCAATACCCCTGCACCAACTTAACCTTGTTGTCCAATAGATCTCCTGTCAGTCAGCTGGGCAAGAAATACTTAACACAAATAGTTATTTCACCTTCCTTTCTGGAAGCATTCACAGCACGTGTCAAAACCATCGCAACTGTAACATACTATAATATAGGTGATTCAGTGACAGATATGTTTTCTAAGCCTAAAGCAGGCTTGCTTCTTATGCCGTTAAATGAACTGAGTAACGTTCACTTTTCTGAAATAAATGTGTAAGGTGACCAGAATATCTTTTAGTGGGACTCTGAACTTTCTTCTAGATAGAGTGAAGACCCGCCGTCTCATCATTCCTCGAACACCACGGTTTGATGAACGGATCTTTTCAGGGTGCACGACAAACTGTCCCGGTTACCAAGCCCGCTGTACAGAAGCCACGCGATTGTTTTCCGCCCAGATATGAAATGTTCTTGTTTGAAATTTGTTTATCTTCCACGAAGTAAATCTACTCATTATGGAAAAGAACAATCTGGCAAGTTGTTTCTCGGACCAATTTTTAAATATGCATTCATCCCTTGCTTCAATATTACATATGTGATGAAAGGTCCTCTCTCGGAATGATACCTAAGCACTACATGCCTCAAAGATTTGAAATCATTGCTGATCGAATTTCGAGCCTTGTTTCTGCTGAAACACAACAGACCTGCTGAAAGATTAAGATCAGTCGAGAACTTTCCACTCTTGGTCAAACCATGGGGACTCTCAACAATGCTCGTACAGTATGGTTGTTCGCGCTAGTCAGCAGAGAACGCGTTTAAATTTTAGGCTTAGGGACTGGTTCACAACGTATGGTACACTCAACACTGTGGTAGCTAATCTGATTGCTAAACCCCATGAATGTACCCGATATGTATTTAGAACGACCACAGAAAAAGCACAGCATGGAGGGAGCCTCAGCAGCTCCTCGATGAAGATTGTAAAATATAGTTTGAAACTTACCGCTGAACTAAGATATTTGTCTCTACATGTTGTTCAATGGACCCTGTAATGGCCGCATTTAATTCTAGACAAAGCCAGCATGATCGTTACTGCCGAAGGTCAAAATCTCCAACAGTATCTTGGCCTGAAAGAAAGCAATTCTCTAGGTCACGAGGTGACCCGCGACTATTTTCCGGCCATCATCCATGTCACGCAGACCGTGAACGCCCTTAAAGACCGAAAACAGCGGTGCAACGATTTGGCCGATGTCAGAAGGCTAAAGCTACAACAAATGCTGCAGCTGTTCACATGCGAAAACGACGTTGAGCAGGTGAGGTTTGCAGAACTTGGCAAACACAGACTGAGTTTCAAACTGTTTTCAAGTGTAGGCTATAAAATGGATTCGGGAGTTGGGCGAAACGGCGGTGACGCAACACTCGAACTTTGTGTATACGTTGGAAAGCATCGCCGCAGCCCGGAACGAATACGAAAAGCTTGCAAAGACAGAACAGGTAAATCGGCTTTAGGCGGAGTTCAGCACAATAAATGTATCATATTCAACTCTGTCAGCGCCCTGCTAACAAGAAAGTCAAATGTTATTCATAGACGATCGATCTTAACGATTATCTTTAAGCTAAACGATTTGAATTTTCATCATAATCGCTGTCGACGTTTTGACCTTTGACAATAACGGTAGTTTTGAGTTTATGTCCACCGACGATTGTGCTTTACCGAAAACACCTTCGCCTTTGAATTAACTGTAGATTGATCAGTTATCGTTTAAATTACGGAACAAAGTATCTATAGGTAAATGTTAATTTGCACTGGTCAAACAAGAGATCACTGTAATCATTCATTTTGTCATATGAGCACGGCATGACTGACAAACTTGTCCGAGAAAAGATCGTGTGGCCGTCGTCGTATTACTGGCGATGGGAATCTCAGATGAAGCAAAGGTGAATTTATGTTTCCATCCCGGCGTTATTTCAATGTAAAACTCTATATATTCCATGCGACGATTGCTACTTAAAGGCGAAAAAGGCCCAATTCCGCCAAGAACGTTGTTTGTTCAGTGAATTTATCCATTTAGTCTCCCGCCCGTCTGTTTCTACTTATTTGTCTGCAGACATACTTACCTAGCTACCTAGTTAGCCATCTATATGATAGTTCGTTTCTTTGTCTATCTATCAGTCAATTTATCGGTGAATTTGTCGGTCAGTGTATTCCACTTATCTTAAAGTCCTTGAGTAAATACAGATGTATCAGTTATTCATTCGTCAATGCATAATGAGCCAACTTCCATGGTGTCATTGACAAGGAGAACTGAGTATGAGAATAGAAGCAGAAGCGTTACTCGTCCAAACTATGAATCGGTAGCGTATTTCACC